CATTACAATAAGACAGTAAATATGCTGTGTCATGGGTTGTAAGTACTCCTTACAGAGAAAGAACCCTTGGGAATATATGTGATAGAAAGAATTAAAAGGAAGCACCCTGCTTATGGGAACTGATTGAGACTCAAGATACTTAAAGGAGAATAACCTTTGTCACCTAAAATGGAGTATTTTGCCAAATTGGTGGATACATTAGTATTTACTTATGGTTTCATATTGTAATCATTGTTTGCCAAATTCTGAAAAGTAAATCTGAAGTTGCCTTGACGGATTCTGACTGGAATTTTTCTGTTGTGTACTAGGAAGAGAGATGCTTAGCATCTTAGTGGAATATGTTTATGCAAGGAAGGTTGGTATGCTTGGTGTCTGTTCTGTCCTAAGAAAAGATAAAATGATTGCTGAAGATTACACTCAAGGGCTCTGCTTGTAATAATTGGGAGAAGGGATCCATGATTTTTGTGAAGATGAAACCAGAGGGGGCCAAGCTATAAACTCTGAAGGCTTGTCTTGGTGTAAGGAAGTCCCTCCAATGACTATGCCTGTGTGAAGTGTCTTTCATGCACTGCAAGATCCTCGGTCATTTGCAATAGAGCAGAAGTCTATGACCACCCAGGTGGTGTTTTTGCCATCCAAAACACAAAGGGGAACAGACATCCCTCTTGATTACATATGCAAATCAAAGCAACAGACTCACTTAATGGTCTCGCCCACTTCCCAGCTTTAAATACATTTTCTTTGCTCCATTGCTTCTGATCACTGGTAAAGAAGTACTCATTTTATGGAGATAATGTGACTTACTCCCCCTCCCTCCCAAGTGGCAATACAATTGCTGGTTACTCTGCCATGCATAGGAAAATCATTATTTTATGCCTTAAAGCCCAATCCTCCCATTTTCCCCACCAACCAGTCTTCTTCCCAAGTAATGACTTGCTGCTGTTCTCTGTGGCCTTCTCCTATAAGCCCAGAGCATATTGATAAATTGCACCTAATGTAGGGGTCCGTCCATGATGCCTTGGGCGCACAGGATGTAGATTGGATAATGATATTCCTCCCCGGAAGAGGAGCAGCACTGGGCCACAGAGATGTTGCACAGACTGTACTTCATGAAACAATTTTATACAGGAGGAAAATAAGAAATTGGAAATGGGCTTAAGCCTGACACTAGATAAACTCCTAAATCCTTTAACTGTGTAACTACTTTATTGAAGCTGAAACCTTTTATTCCCAGTTCTGAGATTGTATAGTGACACAGAGTGAATAATAGATGAATTAATCTTTGGTTGACCAAACATTGCATGCTTATGCTAAGAAGGTGGGAGAAGGAGCAAGTCGGAGATGCTTTTCTTTGCCAGCTTATGTCAAGGAGGATAATAGCTTTCATACTGATCTGATTGTTTCCACACCAATAGTGGATAACAGTTGACTGTATGGTATCTGTGGCCAAATAAACATTAAATTGTTGCCCAATCTGGCCAAAAATAGCTGAACTGAGCAACTGTCTCATGTCTGTGGAGTCTAGGGCACTCAGTAAAATATGAAGTTTGGGGACAGTACTGCAAAGTTAACTGAAATGGTAAGAACTACAATAAAATAAGCCAAGGCACCAAAGTAACAGACTAGTTTGAACATCAACATTTGTCTTGATCTTGACTAGGGTATAAAAGATGCCTTGACCAAGCTGTCTGACCCCAACTCCATCGACCACTATAGTAAATTGACCAGACATGACACAGACTGGAGTTTAATGGCCATAGCAACATTTTATTAGCCAAATATAAATAATATATTAAACATATCAACATATGAATATAGAGACAGTATGCAAGGGGCCCCAAGGTTCTTGTGGGCATGTACTTCAAGTACCTGCGTAAACCACCATTTTAGGCCTCCAGCTGCAGCAGAAACACTGACTGGGAGACAAACCGATATCGCAGGTACCACCAGCCAAAATGATGGGAGCCGTACCCAAGACAGGTCCCTACACATGTTTTTTTTGCCCTTAATCATAACATATCCAAGGACCTTGTACCTCATCAGTCGCTATGACAGAACGGGACTGTCAGGGCTCCCAGGTATGACCAGAGGTGTGTGACTGAAGCAGGGAAACGCAGACCTCAGATATGTTATAAACAATATAATTTATTAACACTAACAGTACAAACATAAACGCAGTGCAATACTAAAACATAATACAGTGCAAACAAACCAAACCACCCACAGATAACAATACATACAAGCAAGCGTCGTCAGGCAGGCCGGGTCAATATCAATAAGGCAGGTAGGTACAGGGGGAGCAAGCGGAGATTGGTCAGGGTCACAAGCCAGGGATCAGAACAGGTAGCAAGCAGCGTGGTACAGAGGGTCAGACAGAGGGTTGGTCAGGAGCGAGCCGGGATCAGAGCAGGAGAAGTCAGCAGCGGTTCAGAAACAGGATGCAGGACAGAAACAGGATGCAGGACAGAAACAGGATGCAGGGCCCAGGACAAACACAACACCAAGGCCGAGTCTGTGGGTCTGGCCATCCCTTAAATACCCCAGCATCATCAGTTACAGGTGTTAGCTGGCTGCAAAGTTGAGTCTCTGATTGCAGGGAACACCCGCTGGCCAGCCCTGGTACTGCAGATCAAAAGGCAGGTGAGTCCCACCATTGCTGGCCAGTCCATTCCTAACAGTACCCCCCCCTCAAGGAGCGGCCTCAGGACGCTCCAAACAGTCCTAGCTGGGCAAAATGTTCCACCGCCCGGGTCTGGCAACTGGCGGGATATCAAAGACTGGCACACACGGGCAGGACTCCGGGCAGCGGCACACCGGGCTGGACTCCGGGCAGCGGCACACCGGGCTGGACTCCGGGCAGCGGCACACCGGGCTGGACTCCGGGCAGCGGCACACCGGGCTGGACTCCGGGCAGCGGCACACCGAGCAGAGGCACGCCGGGCAGAGGCACATCGAGCAGAGGCACGCCGGGCAGAGGCACACCGGGCAGGACTCCGGGCAGAGGCACATCGGGCAGGACTCCGGGCAGAGGCACATCGGGCAGGACTCCGGGCAGAGGCACATCGGGCAGGACTCCGGGCAGAGGCACATCGGGCAGGACTCCGGGCAGAGGCACATCGGGCAGGACTCCGGGCAGAGGCACATCGGATTACCAGGCGAAGCAGCAGGCAGCGGGCCACCAGGCGGAGCAGCAGGCACCGGGCCCCCGGGCGGGGCTACAGGCACCGGGCCCCCGGGCGGAGCGACAGGCACCGGGCCCCCGGGCGGGGCGACAGGCACCGGGCCCCCGGGCGGGGCGACAGGCACCGGGCCCCCGGGCGGAGCAGCAGGCACCGGGCCCCCGGGCGGAGCAGCAGGCACCGGGCCCCCGGGCGGAGCAGCAGGCACCGGGCCCCCGGGCGGAGCAGCAGGCACCGGGCCCCCGGGCGGAGCAGCAGGCACCGGGCCCCCGGGCGGAGCAGCAGGCACCGGGCCCCCCGGGCGGAGCAGCAGGCACCGGTCCCCCGGGCGGAGCAGCAGGCACCGGTCCCCCGGGCGGAGCAGCAGGCACCGGTCCCCCGGGCGGAGCAGCAGGCACGGTCCCCCGGGCGGAGCAGCAGGCACCGGGCCCCCGGGCGGGGCAGCAGGCACCGGGCCCCCGGGCGGGGCGACAGGCACCGGGCCCCCAGGCGGGGCGACAGGCACCGGGCCCCCAGGAGGGGCGACAGGCACCGGGCCCCCAGGAGGGGCGACAGGCATCGGGCCCCCAGGAGGGGCGACAGGCATCGGGCCCCCAGGAGGGGCGACAGGCATCGGGCCCCCAGGAGGGGCGACAGGCATCGGGCCCCCAGGAGGGGCGACAGGCATCGGGCCCCCAGGAGGGGCGACAGGCATCGGGCCCCCAGGAGGGGCGACAGGCATCGGGCCCCCAGGAGGGGCGACAGGCATCGGGCCCCCAGGCGGGGCGACAGGCATCGTGCCCCCAGGCGGGGCGACAGGCATCGTGCCCCCAGGCGGAGCGACAGGTCTCGGGCCCTCAGGCGGAGCGGCGGGCGCCGGACCCCCAGGCGGAGCGACAGGTCTCGGGCCCTCAGGCGGAGCGGCGGGCGCCGGACCCCCAGGCGGAGCGACAGGTCTCGGGCCCTCAGGCGGAGCGGCGGGCGCCGGACCCCCAGGCGGAGCGACAGGTCTCGGGCCCTCAGGCGGAGCGGCGGGCGCCGGACCCCCAGGCGGAGCGACAGGTCTCGGGCCCTCAGGCGGAGCGGCGGGCGCCGGACCCCCAGGCGGAGCGACAGGTCTCGGGCCCTCAGGCGGAGCGGCGGGCGCCGGACCCCCAGGAGGAGCGACAGGTCTCGGGCCCTCAGGCGGAGCGGCAGGCGCCGGACCCCCAGGCGGAGCGACAGGTCTCGGGCCCTCAGGCGGAGCGGCGGGCGCCGGACCCCCAGGAGGAGCGACAGGCACCGGGCCCCCAGGAGGGGCGACAGGCACCGGGCCCCCAGGAGGGGCGACAGGCACCGGGCCCCCAGGAGGGGCGACAGGCACCGGGCCCCCAGGAGGGGCGACAGGCACCGGGCCCCCAGGAGGGGCGACAGGCATCGGGCCCCCAGGAGGGGCGACAGGCATCGGGCCCCCAGGAGGGGCGACAGGCATCGGGCCCCCAGGAGGGGCGACAGGCATCGGGCCCCCAGGCGGGGCGACAGGCATCGTGCCCCCAGGCGGGGCGACAGGCATCGTGCCCCCAGGCGGAGCGACAGGTCTCGGGCCCTCAGGCGGAGCGGCGGGCGCCGGACCCCCAGGCGGAGCGACAGGTCTCGGGCCCTCAGGCGGAGCGGCGGGCGCCGGACCCCCAGGCGGAGCGACAGGTCTCGGGCCCTCAGGCGGAGCGGCGGGCGCCGGACCCCCAGGCGGAGCGACAGGTCTCGGGCCCTCAGGCGGAGCGGCGGGCGCCGGACCCCCAGGCGGAGCGACAGGTCTCGGGCCCTCAGGCGGAGCGGCGGGCGCCGGACCCCCAGGAGGAGCGACAGGTCTCGGGCCCTCAGGCGGAGCGGCGGGCGCCGGACCCCCAGGTGGAGCGACAGGTCTCGGGCCCTCAGGCGGAGCGGCAGGCGCCGGACCGGACCCCCAGGCGGAGCGACAGGTCTCGGGCCCTCAGGCGGAGCGGCGGGCGCCGGACCCCCAGGAGGAGCGACAGGTCTCGGGCCCTCAGGCGGAGCGGCGGGCGCCGGACCCCCAGATGGAGCGACAGGTCTCGGGCCCTCAGGCGGAGCGGCGGGCGCCGGACCCCCAGATGGAGCGACAGGTCTCGGGCCCTCAGGCGGAGCGGCGGGCGCCGGACCCCCAGGTGGAGCGACAGGTCTCGGGCCCTCAGGCGGAGCGGCGGGCGCCGGACCCCCAGGAGGAGCGACAGGTCTCGGGCCCCCAGGCGGAGCGGCGGGCACCGAGACACCAGGCACGACAGTGGGCTCCGAGTCAACTGGTATGACCGCAGGCACTGGGTCAGACATTGGATGGTCTGGCTGGACAGCGGGCATCGGGTCACCAGGCATCAGGTCATTTGGCTCGACAGCGGGCACCGCGTCATCTGGCAAGGCAGTGGGCTCCGAGTCAACTGGTATGACCGCGGGCACTGGGTCAGACATTGGATCGTCTGACTGGACAGCGGGCATCGGGTCACCAGGCATCAAGTCATTTGGCTCGACAGCGAGCACCGCGTCATCTGGCAAGGCAGTGGGCTCCGAGTCAACTGGCATGACCGCGGGCACCGGGGCAGACATTGAATCGTCTGGCTGGACAGCGGGCATCGGGTCACCAGGCATCAGGTCATTTGGCTCGACAGCGGGCACCGCGTCATCTGGCAAGGCAGTGGTCTCCGAGTCAACAGGCACGACAGTGGGCACCGGGTCATCAGGTACCGGATTGTCTGGCTCGACAGCGGGCATCGGGTCATCAGGTATGACAGCGGACACTAGGTCACCAGGCATCAGGTCATTTGGCTTGCCAGCGGGCACCGCGTCATCTGGCAAGGCAGTGGGCACCGAGTCACCAGGTACGACAGCGGGCTCTGAGTCAATTGGCACGACAGCGGGCACCGGATCAGGTACCGGATCATCTGGATCAACAGCGGGCATCGAGTCAACTGGCCTAATAGGATCGTCAGGCTGGATCAGTTCATCATGCTGGGTAGAGGCATTAGGCCGAGTAGAGGCTTCAGGCCGAGTAGAGGCATCAGGCCGAGTAGAGGCATCAGGCCGAGTAGAGGCATCAGGCTGAAGAGAGGCATCAGGCCGAGTACAGGCATCAGGCCGCGTAGAGGCATCAGGCCGCGTAGAGGCATCAGGCCGCGTAGAGGCATCAGGCCGCGTAGAGGCATCAGGCCGCGTAGAGGCATCAGGCTGAGGAGAGGCTTCAGGCCGCGTAGAGGCTTCAGGCCGAGGAGAGGCTTCAGGCCGCGTAGAGGCTTCAGGCCGAGGAGAGGCTTCAGGCCAAGTAGAGGCTTCAGGCCGAGGAGAGGCTTCAGGCCAAGTAGAGGCTTCAGGCCGAGGAGAGGCTTCAGGCCAAGTAGAGGCTTCAGGCCAAGTAGAGGCTTCAGGCCAAGTAGAGGCTTCAGGCCAAGTAGAGGCTTCAGTCTGAACCACAGAAGGCAGGCTCACCGGTTTGGATACTGGCAGGATGGTATTGGTTGGAAAGAATTTTCGCTTTTTTCTGGTTTTAACTACTGGAGCACTGCAAGTAAACGCAGGTCTGCAAACGAATGGAGCAGCTGGAGACAGAGAAGAACTGGAGGATGGAACAGGAGAGGGAGCAGTTGCTACAGAGGGCTTTTTTACAGGATTAAAGGCAGGATAGGTGCAGCGAGTGGGAACAGGGTACTGACATGCGGTAGATAGCCAAGTATACTGGGCTGTAACTGGAGGAGCTGGTGGGAATACAGGAGTAGAGTTAGAAGCAGGACTGGGTCTTTGTAAGCTGACTGAGGCTGGGTGCAACAAATCTGTCCATGTCTGCAGTAGGGGTTGAACAAAGCTGAGCTTACACAAAGCCTGTCTGGTCAATGACTGCACTGCGTTTATACAATCTCTTAGTATCTGTGGTGAACATGTGGAATAACGCTCCAGAAAGTAACCCACATCATCCTCTAATAACCACACCAGGGACTCTACCTGGTCTGCACTAAATGGTGGCAAAAATTCATCCCTGCATTCGGGGGAACCAGATGAAACCAACTCTGCACAAACCTCAATCAATGGCTGCACCTCAGAGAACACTGTGCCCTGATCTACTAGAACATGAGCGAGCCGTATACATTCTAGCAATTCATCCCGGGTATACTCCTTCAGAGTTTGATAAGCATACTCCCTGTCATCAAAACACTAGCAGATATAAATACTCAACCTCATCAAGATCCATCCTTCCCATCAACAAGCCAAGATGGCTTCCCTGTGCAGCCACTTCTGGTCAGGATTGGCCTTGGTGTAATGTCAGGGCTCCCAGGTATGACCAGAGGTGTGTGACTGAAGCAGGGAAACGCAGACCTCAGATATGTTATAAACACAATATAATTTATTAACACTAACAGTACAAACATAAACGCAGTGCAATACTAAAACATAATACAGTGCAAACAAACCAAACCACCCACAGATAACAATACATACAAGCAAGCGTCGTCAGGCAGGCCGGGTCAATATCAATAAGGCAGGTAGGTACAGGGGGAGCAAGCGGAGATTGGTCAGGGTCACAAGCCAGGGATCAGAACAGGTAGCAAGCAGCGTGGTACAGAGGGTCAGACAGAGGGTTGGTCAGGAGCGAGCCGGGATCAGAGCAGGAGAAGTCAGCAGCGGTTCAGAAACAGGATGCAGGACAGAAACAGGATGCAGGACAGAAACAGGATGCAGGGCCCAGGACAAACACAACACCAAGGCCGAGTCTGTGGGTCTGGCCATCCCTTAAATACCCCAGCATCATCAGTTACAGGTGTTAGCTGGCTGCAAAGTTGAGTCTCTGATTGCAGGGAACACCCGCTGGCCAGCCCTGGTACTGCAGATCAAAAGGCAGGTGAGTCCCACCATTGCTGGCCAGTCCATTCCTAACAGGGACAGACACCTGCAAAAAGAGACCAAACAAAAAACAATCCTACTGTTAAGGGAGCGAGGGGGTGGTAAGTTGTCCCATCCAGGCTCTCTTTCGACTGAACGCCTCCCAGACCCCCCCCTCCCACATTCCTAGCTCCTAAAGCCCCACCTGCTCTAGCTCTTTCTAGCAATCCGGTGACTACCACCTCAAACCTGTTTACATTTGATTCCACAATGACTCCTTCTTTGCCCAAATCCCTTAAAACCCAGTCATATTTGCCTTGTCCCAAGGCTTCTCTCTTTTTACTGTGGCCCTGACTTCTCTTGTGCCAAAATACACCAAAGGAATAGGGAACAAGACAAACGTTGATGTTCAATCTCTAATGAAGGGGATTTTTGATCCCTGGAAAACAATGCCCTGTGTTATAAACACAGCAGGCATCATGAAAGGGGACAGTCCCTTTGGACTAGTCTGTAGGGTAATAAAGGGGTTAAGTGATGGCAGAATGGCAGGATGGTGAAGCGGCGTGATTTGGATTGTGGTGGCAGATTATTGGTAGGAGGAAGAAAGAGGAGGGGACTCCTGCATCACGGTAAGTCCCGTGACATACTGGTCACTCAGTTGGCGCCCTTCCATGAAGAAAGAAGTCCTCACCCTCCCTCCCCAAGTTTTTGTTCCTGGGTTTCGTTGTTATGGCTTTGCTTATGACATTTATAAAAAAAATTATATATATATATATATATATATATATATATATATGGGAAAAAAAGGAGAATACATACATAAATTTAAAAAAAAGTGCAGTTTTTTTCTTACAGGACAATGAATAAAAAAATACAAATAAATTATTTAAGAGACAACTTATTATTGGTTCCAGTCATGTATATTTGTTGTCACGTGGTATTTTTTGTCACAGCTGGTGTTTATCCCTTTTGCTGGCTGAGGTGGCAGGTGGCTGGTAGAGGTGGTGGAATTGGTAGAAGGAGGCCCAAGTAAGCTCTGGAGCCTAACCTGGATGGCTGGTGGCTGAACTGGCTCCTGCTAAGGAAGAAAAGTGGAGATACGCCACTCAACACTGCTAAAAGGGATTTGGTGTTAGATATGTTTTATTGGTTGATGGTTCATTATTCATAGATATCAAGCTGTGGCCGATACTTAAATAATAAAGTATCTTTGTTATCAGTGTGGTTATTTTAGTCAATCTCAGGGAGAAGTGAACAGTGTACCAGTCATGCATTGTGATAATGATAAAGGATCTTGGACTCTTTTTCATTTTCAAATGCCAAAACAAACTACTGTACTGTCCATAGGAACTGTTAAGCAGAATTATAAAGAGAGTTTAGTGAGAAATATATCAATGATGGTGGCTGCAGAGCAATAACATAAAAGGTGAAGCATGCTGATTATGGGCCAAGGATTGCTACAGATCAAAACAAAAATTTGCCTTTAATTTTAATTGAAACAGACCTAAGAAACTGAACGCTGCACAGTTAATACTCCAGAGAATGATAACAGAAAAAAAGCGAACATGGTTTTTAAAATATACAACCACCCAGAAAACATGTCGATCTGTGGGAAAAAAAACTGTAAACAAACCTGCTAGAAAAACATTGAGATACTCTTTTTTTATAGCAGAAACTTGGAATGACATAATTATTTCCATATATTATAGTCTCACTATGAAAACAAGAAATAGTAGGAGAGCGGACGAAAAATCTTTTCATCTGCCATAAATAAAGCGAAGGAAGAAAATGAAGTTTTCAAGGTCATGGCGGAGAAGGTGAAGTGGTTTAAAACTCTTACAAGGCGGTAGATGTTTACTCAACTTGTCACTATCTCAACAAGTAGCATTTATTCTCCAGAACAAAATGAATTCTGTGTTTTCCTATTTTTATCCCTCTTGTGTATCTGTTTGCTCTCCACTTGCCAAGAGGACCTGGCAGATGGATTCTAGCTTGCCTGGAGAAGAGCTGGTCATTAGTTGTAAAGACTAAAACTGAAATTTTAAATCATTTACATATAAAATTGGAATGTTCTCATCTGCTCTTGCTACCTAGCTGGCAAGGCCACCGTTTGTGGAATTTTAGATCATAGTAGAGTTTGCTACTACAACGGTGACCAGAGGCACTGATACCATCCTAATGGTGGCCATACAGGCTTCAATAAGTAATTTTTTTGATTCCATGAATCTTTTCCAATAGGAATAATCAATCTATAGTCAGGGGCGGACTGACCATTTGGAAACTCGCGCACTGCCCGAGGGCCCAGGGTCAGTAGGGGGCCCCATGAGATGCCCCTGGTACCTTTTTCATAGGCTTTTTTGAGTTTGGGCAAGGACACAGGAGCCCCATGATCCCCTATTGCCCGAGGGCCCCATGAGTTGTCAGTCTGCCCCTGTCTATAGTCAACATTCAATCAATATGCCACACATTGGGAAGTGAATGTTGATTGATAGTTAAAGTGGTTGTAAAGGCTGAATATTATGTACCTTCATGCTGCTCCCTCTACAGCCCCCAAATACTCACCTGAGCACCCTATCAATCCAGCAATGTGCAC